GAGACCGATGGACCAACTCAGGCGACACTCAGATCATTGAACATCTACATCCGTGGACGTTTGGTACAGATACCAGACAGTGAGCGAAGGGAGACGGCCTACGCCATCGCTGCACAGAGTGGTGTGATTACCCCATTCACACACTGTGAGAAGAAGTCGAGGCAAGTACTCAGAGTCGGTGATCAAATTCACAAGGTCGATGTGTCTTTCCTCAAGGGCAATAGAAACTACTACCTCTTCCATCTTAGGAAACGATCAGACGTAGACAATCCATTGCAGCCAAACTATGAGAAGTTCATGCCTTGGTCAACATCAAGATTGCTTCACTCTGGCAACAAGGAGGTACACCCACCATTCTATAGCATGAAGGACAACTATTTGGAGTTCAACCCCAACCAAATGAGAATGGTCCATCAAGATTCAACATTGGTGGATACTGTTGGTCACTCGAGCCACAGAACCAACACAATCAGTCAGGTTCTTGTCCATTGAGTGCCTTGAACAACCTTATGTTTGAGGTGACGACAAAGGAGCCACTGACTGAGGAGTACTACCTAGACTTCTACTCATACTCAACCCTATTCATCGAGCAGCAGGGCACTGACATTCAGAGAGTGTTCTCGGTTTAAATGAGTAGTAATAAATGTTAAATATCAATCAGTCTATTTATTTACAATCATGTGTTTCTTCTTTGTGGCGCGTGGCTTCTGAGTCCCACTCCCATTTATATCGGGGACTGTAGTTCGTTCGAATAGAGACTGTAAAATGGATGATACTTCCCGTGCGTAATGGATTGGACAAACATTCCATTAAGTATGTCTTCAGCTTGATAAACCATTTATCCGGATTTTATCAACTTGCTCGGAGCTTTGATTATTAATTAATAATTATGTTTTTGGTTGACCAAATGAAGAACTTGTAGTGCTGGCCTTCATCTCCACAATGTTTATCTCGTGCCTTCTTAATCTGAAGAACCTGGATTTCTATTGTCGCCAACTTGTGCAGATAGAATGGCAAGGTGCATTCTGGGTGTCCAAACGGAGTGATTGCAAGTTTGAGAGTCATCGACTCGAGTCTTGTCCCATGGTAGATGCCATCGACAAAGGCCACTGCCCTTTCAAAATGATCTTGTCCATCAATCTTGAACGTGTCAATCAGATGGCTGGCATTGATGAGTGCCACAATCTGGTCCACAGTCACATACGGGTTGTACAGATCCACTATCAATCGATGCAGTCTTGGCATCTCCAGACATAGATTGGTCGGTTTAATTGCGCCCATGGCCTCAGAGAGATAAAGACTGGTGACCAATTTAGAATGCATGCAAGCTAACTGATAATGATCGACCTTGTGATAGCTGATGTTTGGGTTAAGGCTCTCTTCAGTGTCATCTTGGATCCAGTTGTAGACAGATAGTTGGATGCCATCGGGGAGGTTTGTGACAGAGTCTCGAGCACATTGGTCAAATTGAAGCACATCTCTGTGGAGACAAACTTGAACAGATCCTTTTAGACTAGAGCAAGAGATAGATTCCAAGCATGTGATTTCCAGGCATTCAGACTGATTTGGTGAATGATCAGCCGAGGCAAAGAGGGTATATCATAGTCTGTTGTCATCTTTACAAGTTGGATTGGATGATGATGAAAGATATATTTATATATATAGATAAAATAGTTCCTGAAAATGTCACAAAACATAGGATAGCATTGGCAATGCTGCATTGCATTAAAGATGTCATCTCCAGCACACACGAGCAAAGTAATGATCGCAGCACTGGATCATCGATTGTTGACCGACGTCGACAGACAAGGTAGCTTGATGGCGGTTGCTCGCAAAGGTCCTGCGAGTGGTCGTTGCTGCTCGKACTTCTTCCACCAGCTCGCTGCCGATTCTTGAATGGTCGATCTTCAACTTCTCAAGGTCTTGACGCATCTGTTCGAAGTCCTGGTCGTCACCACCTTCGCTCATGATACTCTCAGAGTCCTTGTCTTGACCRAGGCATCATTTGTGTTGTTAGTGAGGTCATCGTCCATGTCGTCGTCCTGTTCTTTGGCTGAGTGTCTTGAACACAAGGATCAGAGAGTTGACTGTGTGTTGTCTAAATATCTCTGATCGTACAAGTCGAATTATCCTTTGTTTGGCTGGCCTGCGTGGCATCATTGTTGATAACATGATCATTCGCTACAGATGAAGTGGAAGGTCAAGTTAGTATGAGTAATTGAGTGCAAGAGTGGTATGATTCCTTACCCAAGCTACTCGATACTCACGTTGGTGCTAAGACTATAGATGTTTGGTGTCAGCCAAATGGGTTGGCTGGAATGCTGAAGATGCCATAGAGGTCCTTGTCGGTCTTGGTTGCGCACGCCAATCTGAAAGGTCAAGATGTTGTGTATTGGCACTTCTCCTCCCGTCCGTGGAATGGAGAGAGTATCGCAGATGTTGAGAGCAGGAAATGTGTGGCAACACTGATAATGTCGCCCAACAAGTTGACCGATGTCGTGCTAGGTTGGTACCTGTATACCAATTTGTCGCTCCAGATCACTAGATCGTGATACTATAGGTGTGACAGGTGTGCTTTGCTGCCATGTCCACACTGGCTGACTGTAATCTCTTGGGCAGCATGTGCTGGTCCAAGATCGATCGAGGTGACCAGTAGTTTGTTCCCTTATTGGTATATCCACTATCTATATATAGAGTTGAAAACTTGGATGTCCTCCTTATTGATAATCCAGCACGTCCAAGTGACTACATATATGATGTGATTGTTGATTAACGTGTGTGTTGTGATAGGCGCCGGGTCTCCACTGTTGGCCTTTGATCCAAGGATTATTAGTTTGGTAATTAAAGGCGTTGAATGTTCATGCATCGCTTCATCTTGGTGAGATGATTACGTTGGTGTATAATAGTTGAATGTTGGACGATGTTGGTCAGCAGTAGGTGTTAGACAATCGATCAAGTTGTTGCACTATAGCTGTTGATGTTGGTGATCCGAGTTGATATAGATTACGATGAACAGCAAAGAATGTGGTATATCGCTTCATCTTGATGAGAAGAGTCTGTTGGAGTTCATAGGAGTTGTTGGATGATGTTTGTCCTTTGTTGATGTGCGACGATCCAAGCGGGCTGTAATTGGTCGTTGTTTCATTGCTGTCCAATGACTGTAATTCCTATGAATCACCTCAACAGTGATGTATAATATATTGATCGCTTCATCTTGATATGTTGAGTATTTCTATACTATAATCTTGATTGGTATTAGTTATTGTTAGAAGAAGAAGTGCGACGATCGGTCCAAGGTTTTGGTTGTTACCTGTGAAGTTGAATGTTGATGACCAAAGTTGATGAAGATTACTCCAACGACAATAAATATAGTATGTATCGCTTCTTCTTGATGGGTCGAGTCTGGTGATGTGTCATAGGTGTTTGTTGGACGATGTTGGTGATCAGTGGAGTGCGACGATCGTAGTTGAAGCCACAATGTGAGTGCATCCTGGCTGTTGTTGAATGTTTTGCTAAAGAATAGCTTCAGCAGTGATGTACAATATATCTATCGATTCACCTTGATGTGTTGAGTCTGTTGGTATGTCAATTGTAGGTGTTATCGAGATGTTGGTGGCAGTTGGAGTGCGACTCTTGGCGTGTAATGGGTTCAACAGTCACATATTATATATGGATCGATTCCTGTAGATGTACTGAATCTGTTGGTGTATCAAACGTATGTGTTGAACATTGTTGGTGCGTCATCGCATTCGAAAGGCATTCATGATATCAGGTGTGATGTTGTTCAATGATGATTGATATCTTGATCGATTCGCATTGATAAGAGGAGTAACAGATGTATTATGTTGAGGTGTTGA